TTTCAACCACCCCTTCACCATGTTGAGTATGCATGGTTTCACCGGGGAATTTCAGCAGTAATGTGTCACCTTTACCCTCAGATGGGTGCAATAAAGAATGGGTCACAAACAAACAAACAAAACAAAAACAAACAACACACAAATTAACAAATACAGTTAGCAGCCTTAGGGTGGTAGATGAAAATTCAGCTGGGACAAGAGCGATAAAAAATAACTTACGGCTATTGTAGGCCTCTTTGGCAGTCAAGTGCCATGTTTACCGAGAAAAGATATGACATTTTTTTAACAAAATGAGGAAAAAGGGGCGGTCAAGAAGGGGGGGAGGGCCTTTAGGCGCAGCTTCCTAACCTTGAGCTATCACCCTCAAATGAACAGTGAAACTCAACAATGACGAGCTTGATCCTTTCATTTCTTTTATTGCTTATTTTCCAGTCGTCCAACATTACCATCGCGGGATTCCTATACAAAAATAGTGATCAATTCTATATACAAAAGAGTTCCAGTTTCAGAATTCATCGCACGTCGACAATCACCTCGCAAATTTTCTGTTGTTATACATGTGCGTCATTTGTGTCCCCGCCGATAAGTGTTCAACCTTTCAAACTGTGCACCAGACCAAACCCTGACCCGAGCAAAGAAAATACAGCAATTGTTACGGTTATTTGTATCTTAAACAGGCGAAATCCATAACCACGTCTCCGGCTCTGTGTTAGGAACACTTCTGGGTCTTGCCTCGAGTAAAATGTTTCTCTTGGCTGGAAATCCATTTTGTCGTTTAAATCTTGAACGAGTGTGGACTCGTGCCAAGTCACGTAACTGGCTGACAGGAATGGGAAGAAAAATTTGTACACAACAACCAGCGTGCCAGAGATTTGAGCCATGTACTGATAGGCAAATTTCAGTTCCATTGTTGCCTCCAACCATTCAAAAATGTTAGCCAACAAAACTACTACGTAGAAGAGCATATGGATAAGAAACCAAACTTGCATGCTGTTGATGCGCTCTCCAACCTGTTCACGCACTTGTTTGTGTAACATTAAAGCATTTCGAACATCCCCGGTGCATTTAGCCAAGCGCGAGTACCCTTTTGTAAGATCGTTTGTCATCGCGAGGCACAGAGAGAAAAACACGCAGCAAACAGGGATAGACGAATACAGACCCCAGTAAACAGACACGGCCAGAGTATAAAAAACAGCATTACAAGTGACGGGGCGATGACAGTTTTGTAAAAGGGCTTCTTTAATGTTGACTAAGTCGAAGATAACTTGATAGTACGCATCTCCAAATAGAATCAACGACACCAAAAGCATACCAGTGAAAAGGGCTACATTGACTGCTCGGCGTTGATTTTTGTTTAGATCTTTCATCCATTCTTGTGTCTGATACCTAAAGTAATACAAAGCGAGAACATACGATGCAAACGCACTTATCCATAGAGATGTGAGCAACATCTTAGAGCCGATGTGAACCGATCGGTGATTTGACGTCAAAATAAAATATAAATGTGCACCCAAGCCGAACAGCAAATGAAACACTGGTATAAAAGTGAACGGCCACATCGATCTTCTCTTATTAGGCAACCAAACGCCAAGAAAAGACACTGCTATCAAACAAATCAAAGGCCAGTGGGAATCAAAGAGGAAAAACTTCATGAGTGCACAAGCTTTGCGACAAAAACCCATCGATCTTTCAGCGAACACTTCTCCGTTTGCATCAGCAGTAATGGACTGTATAGACGTGTGATGACTTTCTTCAGGCCATTGTGTGACGGTTCCCATTTCTTCGTTGTCTTCACTGCTTGATCTTGGGTGAGTGGCTCGAGTTATCGGCAAAACAGTTTCTTTCCCCAGCAAAGGTTCCGTTTGTGTTGGTCCTTCTGCTTCCATTTTCTAATCCACGTTCGGTTATCACTTCCGCTGTGTGATTCCTTAGAAATTATGTACGTTTAGTCACGCAAACTAATAGAAAACTCACGCTAATACACAAAAATTTCCTCGAGAATTGGCTGTAAGTCGCGTGACACATACAACACTACCTAAGAGCATAGCACTCCGGCAAATGTTTTCATGAAAACAGAAGTGTCTTTGTGGAAGATGAAAAAATGTTGTCTTTTAAAAAAATTAAACGAATACCACTTAGAAACATTATATTCTTAAAAAAACAAATTGGGCAGTCGAAATCTCTCTTCGTTATTTCATCTAAGGCTTCATGCAGCTGAACTATTCAATTAAATATGCCATTTGCAAATTACAAACAAAACATCCCTTAATTACAAAACAAAGGAGATGAAAGTTGTATTGTAACCAGCGAGGGTATAGATAGATGATAGATAGATAGTTTATTAGAATATCGAACATGGCAATCCGTAGACTGAATTGCGTTACAATTACTTAGAACTAGGAATAAATGAATTCCAAATACAAATTGAAATTATAATAAAACCATAAATGCGAAAAACTCTCTATATATGACTATGTACAAACTAGTCTAAAAAAAATTTATGTACACATACTTGGAATAAAAGTTTTCTTAAAATGATTACAT